TGAGATGAGTGTAAACTATTTTGAGAGATATATATTTTGACGAGGCAAAAATTTGAGGGGGGTCAAAATCAGGCCTTATAAATACACATTTCTTTATACTTATATTATGATTTTCATTATTATATAATAGATACTCGGAAAAAATTAATAAACTCACCGATCACATATATCAAATTGGAATAAATGCAACTAAGCTCTCTGAAGATGACTTTAATGTCATTAATCACGGTGATTTTCACGTGAACAATATACTGTTCAAATATGACAATGATGGCAAACCCATTGATTCTATTTTTGTAAGTATCATCTCGTTATAAAAAGTTCTATATTTCTTACAAACACGAGTGCTCATTAATTTAATATTATTGCTACTTCATATTGCGATTAGTTAAGAATTAGGATTAAATATAATGAAATAATTTGCAAAGTCTAATTTACTTGCATGTAATACAATTTATATTGTTAAAATAGCAAATTAACTTTAAAATTATATTTGTTTAATTTAGAAAAATGTAAATTATCACAAACGTCATTTAAACATGACTTCGCGTCTTCGCCCAATTACTTCTTTCTATTTATTTCCAATATTTACATTCCTGAATTTTTCTTAATGTTTACAATTGAATGTAATGGTATAACTTTACATAAAAAAACAAAGTAAATATAACAAGTAATAACAATAATTCTTTTTTCGAGAGACTGTTATGTACATGTCGTATTTTATTAACAATATCGGCTTTAGCGGTCTAGAAGCGACAATAATTAATTTAAGATACTGAAAACGCAGTGTGTTATAAATAATGCAATAAATCCAGTTCAATTCGAGTACAACCGTCATGTGTTCGCTTGTAAACTCTCAAATTTCTACCAAGATTTCTTAAACACGAGTTCCACTTCGTTGCCGATGCTTTAATTTCATTTCAAATTTAATTGTCAGAAGTCAAGAGAGCGATTAATCAAAAAAATTGGTTTGGGATTACAGGTAGATTTTCAATTGAGCGTATACGCATCACCGGCAGTCGATCTTTTATATTTTTTCAATACAAGACTTTTCTTGGATGTTAGTGAAAACAAGAGAGATATTCTGTTAAACGAATATCTCAGTACTTTGTCGGTAATTATGAAACAATTGAACTGCAAGACGCAGCCGCCTACCATGGAGGAACTGAAGGCTATCCTAAAGCAAAGGGCTGGTTATGGAATGATAACATCCATTACGATTTTACCGAGACTGTGTAAGACTGAAGTGGAAAATTTAGATGAGACGATGGACACTGATATATGGATTAATCCAGGTTTAAAGAGCGAGAATTATAAGAAAATAATGATAAAGAGAATTCCACTATATGATG